TTGATTTATTTGACATACTGTAGAATACTTTATTTTCTACTGGAATTTATTTTCGCTATTTTCGCTGAAGGGATGATTCTGTGAAAATAAAATCCAGTGAATATACTTTTTTTCCTATATTTCACATTAAACTCATCAAAAATCAGTGAAAATAAATTCCATACAAAACGCTCAAAATGCCTTTTCAGTGAAAATTAATTCCAGCGAAAATAAAATATTCCACAGTATACATCTACTAGGTTCCCCTCAGTATTCACCAATGGGTAATTACTTTTACAAGTAGACTTGGCTACAACAGATTGACAGTAAAACAAAACAAGCATGTTGTTTTTACCAGTAGTCAATAACATTGGTCAGTACTAGTCATACGTATAGATACAGTACATATCTACCAAAGGGCTCCATGCATCATCAATGCATGTCAATTTCAATGCAATATGATTAAAATTCAAAAACTAAAATATGTGGTATCGGTAATTATAATCACACACACACACACACACACACACACACTGTCAGAAACAAGCATAGATGCAAATGATCACAAGTCAGCTGTTTTTGGTCAAATTTCAAAAATATACATGACATATGTTCACAGTATGTACAGTTCATTTACAAACTGTGATTTTAGAAAAGACAAAATGGTAGTCAATTTTATCATATCAACACATAACACAATCTATGGTATTATCATTAAATAAAATTACTTTCAACTGAATCAGGCAATATATTAGTGAGGAATCAACATGAACATAAATAAAAACAAAAATGACACCCAGTCAGCCATTTTTGTTTTAATCTCAAAAAATATATATTTACACCAATGAAGCAGCATTGAAAATTTGGATTCTCACTACTGTACATTGAAAATATAAAAATTCTCACTGATACATGTATTCGTGAAAATAATATCAAGTCTCACTGAATTGCCAGAAATTGTCAGTTTCTTTTTTACTAATAATGACGTTTACAATACAAACCAGGTATACTCACACAAGCAGAGACTGTTGTATTTTATGACTTTTTAACAAAAGCACAAACAGATCAACAACATATCGTCGTGTAGTAATGTCATCACCTTGAATTAGAATATGAAATATCAGCTGAAAGGTTTGGTTGACATTCCTTGTTTGAAATAACTGATAAATAGATAAAGAATAAAGTTAGCAATAAACATGGCAGAATTTCAAGAAAACTATGCAACCTTGGTTTCCGTGGAACATAATATATATTTGGTCAATTTGTTTTCTAAAATCGAAACAAAAGCAGCTTTTCATTTAAATTCATAAAATTGTTATTAAATTAATGATTTTCATGATGAATCATGATAAATTTTGTTTAAACAAAAATAATGGAAGCACCGGCGAACCAACAACTACCACAACTCTGATTCCAAACAGAAAAAATATGTGCAGACTAAAATAGGAAACAAAGCATCTACCGGGGGGTATTGACAAGTACATGGTATTATGATGTTAAGCAACATAAGGTTGTGAGAAAGTTACTATATTCAACTACCGTACTTATTCGGGTAAGAGCCCATGCCTGGGCAAATGCCCACCCCCCACTTTTGACACAATAAAGAAGTTGAGGTCATATCCGGGTACACGCCCAGGGGATCTTTTTCTACACAAAAAAAAACAAACAAAAAACTAGTTTGTATTCATTGACTGTGGTTGTATTAACAGTTGACTTTCTTGAAGTCTGTCGTGATACTTTTAAAAATTGTTAATTGCGTAAAACGAGGGGTGAACGCAAAATAGCTGTGACAGCTTTCTGCCTTCAAGGCAATGCGTTCACCGCTGATTTTTTTCAGAATCATAACAGCCAGCAAGTCTATAAAAATATATCCTCGGGGGCGGAGCTACGTCACAAGACGTTCCACGTTGCTACAACGCGCACCACTGTACATGCATTTCTATGGGCTCTGTGCGCGCTGCTGTGGAACGCCGGTCGAGCCGGTGAAAATTCGAGAAAACAACACAAACTCAACTTTGAAGTAATCCTGAACAACCAAATTTATATATGTTACACACGTAGGGCTAATCTTGTTACACTGTTCAGAGGAGTCTCAACAATCATCCCAAAGTATCGTTTTCTACGCCGGAACTTGCTGAATGATAACTTTCACCGTGATTATTAAGCGTCGAGTCTGATAAGAAAGCAATGTCACGATTTGACCTTTATGATGAAATACTAGTAGTGATGTTATTCTTCGCCAATCAGTAAAGCAGATGCATAAAGGTCAAAAATGATTGCTAGACTGTAAACAAAAACATCGTGTGCCATCGCAGCAGAGCGACCCCATTTTTCTTGTCTCTTTATTATGATTAGACATGAATGAAAAGTGCCAAGCTGGCAGACTGCGAAATCCGTGGATTAAAAGTGCCGAGTCCAAATTGTGTGGGACGATATCGACGAACTTCAGGAATAAGTTGTAGGGATTTTGTTCGACGGCTACAGTGATGCCAACTTGGACTTTGGGGGTTTTGAGTTTGACGAAGATGGCAATGAACGTACAAATAAAGATCTGAGAAGTTTTTCAAACAGCTATGAATTTTTATAATTTTTACTGTGTAAATTATTATTGATCTTGCATGTCAAGACCGGAAATCATTTTACGTAGTTTAACCCCCTGACATTTTATTTCATTTTGAGTTCACGCGTATTGGGCATGTTTGTCAGCAGGAAAATCCTAATTCAAATGATTCCTCACTGTCGATTTTTATTATTTCTGGTTTATTTGTCACATTATAAGCAATACATTATTTTTGTTTTACTTCTCATGCTGCATATTGGTCATTTATTTCCGTTGCATGTTTTCATTTGCTGTTCTATTCCCTGCCGCAGTTCGATCTGCGTGTTGTCAATTTTCGCGAATTTTCTTTTTGGCAATTTTCCATGTTCAGGACCCTGGGCTTTTACCCGGATAAATACGGTATATAGACTTTTTGGGGGTTTATAAGTAAGATGATGACTCAGACACTAATTATGTTTTGGACGACCAATATTTTACTATGAACCACCCAAATTGTAAATTGGCAGTCAGCATAGACCAC